TTAGGAATTCAGGAAGTAGATCTTGGAATAAAATCTAGAAGATTCCACCTTTTAACCTTCACCTGGCAGGTAGTAGTTCTTGGTCTTCCTCGTTGGGGAAATCCTGACAAATTCTGTGCTCAGTTAATGCTGTGTTTAATATCACCTTTACTTAGAAATGACACACTCTGGGTCTAGATCAGTTGTATTATTATGAGAAATTCTGTTATCAATATAGGGAAAAATAACTCCCAACCTGTTAGATGTCAAATGCACCAAGTTCAGGAGCTGATAACATCTAGGAATGATGTTGGGGACCAGACTAGGTCTTATTAGAAATAAAGAGTAGATCCAGGATTTTCAGGAGGGACCATGTGGGTGGCCACTTAGTCTCTTCATCTAGAGCTACTTGTAGGTAAGCGGAGCACAAAAACTGCTTGTTTAGTGTTCACTTGTCACAGGTGATTCTGTGGATTTAAATGACCAGCTGAGACAGGCTTCTAATGCAGTTCTTCAGCATGTAGAGCTTAAAGAGAAGTAGGATTATTTTGTGTGTGTGTGTTTTGTTTGTTTTTTGAGACAGGGTCTCACTATATGGTTCAGGCTGGCCTCGAAAATGGTGATCTTCCTGTCTCAGCCTCCCAAGTGCTGGGATTACGGGCATGTGCCACCATACCTGGTGGGTAGGAAACTGGGATTTTTAAGAGAAAAAAACTTGTTATCTTGCATTTTAATTTTCTCAGAACTCAGGAGCTTAGTAGGGAGTGGCTGTACCTCACCTTAGTAGCAGAAAATAGGCTGCTTGAGAAAGTTCACTGCATTTAAATTCCTCAGAACTCAGTGGCTTGTAGGAAGTGGGGTGCATCCCATTTGCCTGAGGAAGTTTGTTCTGTGTCCAAAGTCCTATTTCACTATCTGTTTATTTTAATTCTTATCAGCGTGGCTGGGCACCCAAGTCATTCTCAGGCCCTTCCTCAGCTAGCTGCATTACACATGAGCTAACTGAAGTTTTATATATTATCAGATACAACCTTGGAATAAATGGCTTTGTTCCAGTTCCTCTGACCTTGGAAGATAAATTCAAAGTGGTGCATTGTGCTACAGTTAAAAGTAGCTCAAGATGATGTTAAAAATTTGGAGAATTAAGCTTTATCTAACTGGCATTCTACTAATAGTATTGCACATGTGCGAATTGTAATGTGGTACTTCGTAATGATGCCTCAAAATTCTGAATTCTACAAAATTTCTTTTAACTTATTCATGCCAAAGTTTGCAGTTTTTAAATTTTTTTTTTGCAAGAAATTCATACATGTTACCTAGAAAAATTAGAGGAACAAGAATTTGAAGAGAAAAGCTTTCATGGTAAAACCTTGGTTTGTGAGCATAAGTCCTTCTGGAAACATGCTTGCATGTTTATGCAAGATTTATAAGACCTGAAGAGAAACCGGCGTGTATGGAAACGTGCTTGTAGTCCAAAGCTCTTGTATATCAAAGCAAATTTGCCCATCAGAAATAATGGAAACTCGGATGATTCTGTTACCGGGTAGCTCCTTCTAAAGTGGCTCACTCTCTAAACATTTCCAGGTGCTGGGTGAGTTAAGATTACCGGTTCTTCTCATCTCACACGAAGAATTCAACAAAATGATCAAAAAAGCAGGTTTATTCAAGACAGTAAAAGTGAAGAGTGAGGGGGGAAAACTGGCTCTGCTTGGGCAGAGTAAAAGGAGAAAAAGCAGTAAAAGGACACCCTGGAGAAAGCAGGGAGAGCTAGCATGCAGAAAGTCAGGACAGCAAGCTCTTCCTGGCATCTGTGACCTCCATACTCTCCGAATATTGAGGAAACCCACGAGAACTTCCACATCTGGGTCCCGAGAGGCCGAGATGGGATCCCACTCCTCAGCCTGACATCGGGTCCGGGCCAGCCTCTGCCCACGTGTCTGAGGACTTTGTAATTAACAGGCCACACCTACCCCAGCCAGTTTTGCCATGCCCTGATCTATCATTGTGTTCCACAACCCAAAAATACTCATAAAAATGGTTACAATACTGTAATGTAGTACAAAATAATAAAGAAAATACAAAATATAAAGACAAATGAATTAACCTTTGAAAACATTCGTGGCCGGTGAGAGAAAGAGCGGAGGGTTATTGTGCAGGTCAACGTTCACTATCACTAGCCGAGTCGCTGTTATCTATTAACGCTTTTCAACTTTAACAAGGAACCTATCCAGTGACACTTGCTTTTGGCTCCGTTTGAGGATTTTGCCCAAATGTGACACAGCATTGTTGTTAAACAGATTGGTCGCTCACACTGCTACAGCCTTGAATGGTGCTTTTGTACAAAAGCTTAGTTTCCCACTTTGTACACATCTCCATAATCTCGTTTGAAGTGAGGGTTTCCCTCCACCTTTGCTCCTCTGCGGATGAGACGGCCTCCATAACCTTTTGGTTGCAGAAAGAGAGAGGAAGGCGGAGGGGAAGGGGAACCAGTGGCTCAGTTGCACTCACGTGACAGTCAGTGTCACCTACTACTCAGATCCCAAAGTCTTAACAAGTTACAATGTGTTAAAAATGTTTGCTCGTTTTGTGGAACACTCGCAGAACAAGCTACTTGCAATACAAGGTTTTACTGTAGTATGTTCCATTGTTTGTGGCCTTCTAAAAATGGAACACTAGGCATAAATGGGTTAATAAAAATTTAAAAGTACTTTGCTTGCTTTTGTTGGCCATGTATGCTAATGTCATGGCATGTGAGTTGCAAAGTATTCTTTCCCAACCTTACTGGGTACCAGAATTTGCTGTAACAGGCACAGGCGTACTGTTCCTGAGCGAGTAGCATGCCCGTGAAGGTGTCGCGTGCTGAACTGAGGGGGGACCGCGACCTTCCTGGAGGTACTCTGCCCGGGACTGCCGAGGTATAAGGGTGTTCGCGTGCTTGGTGAGGCACTGATAATCGCACGGCTCTGGTGACTTCTGGAGTCCGTGCCATTGTTGACTGTGGTGTGCGTGCGCCGCTCTTGGCACAGCCCAGCTTTTCCCCAGCGCCATTGTGAAACCTGGCCGACGTGAAAAGGAAGCGCCCGTGTCACGACTGGAACCCATCGTAATTTTGGTAGAGTTGTCCCTCTAGACTCGGTAAAGGTATAGAAGGTCCAGGAGGAAGAAAGGACAAACCACCTTCCGGGCAACCTCTCTCTCCCTTTTCTTCCTTACCCTCACCTCTTCCCTTTCACTTTTTTTTCCCTTGGAAGAGCCATTAAGGAGAAATGTGTGCATATAACACACAAGACCAAACACATCCCCAGACACCTGCGAACTCTGCTGGGCTGCGGACATCGCTCGGTGACAGAGCACTAGCGTATCAGTTGTGAGGCCCTGGGTGTTATCCCTGACACCAAAAAAACAAAACACAAGAAGTCTGTTAAATACTTCAATGGCCTTTCCAGAGGGTAATGTAAATACCCAAGGAAGTTTTAGGTTGGCAGGTAAATACATATTGTAAGGACTTTATTTTTTGGCCTATTACCTGGAATTTTATTATTCCTCTGCAAAATAAAGAACACTAGTACTCAGTAAAACTCCATTTTTATGAAATGTTAACACCAATATCCTTCTGTACAAAAAAAAAAATGAATTTTATGGAAAGTGAGAAGTTGGCAGTTTATGCAGAGTTTTTGGAATGAGGAGAAAACAGTCTGTTTTCATCACCCAGTGCGAAGTGATGTGATTCTGTAAAATGGAGACACGAGAGGTTCATAACTGAGAAATATGCTTACCTGGGGTTTTCTCTCGGTCTCCAGTGTCCTCCTCACGTAACTCCTTGAGACACTGCTTTGCAGTGGCTGCTTTACAAGTCCCCGGCACTCGGCATGGAGACTGCTGTCCCTGGTGGTCATTGCCATGTGTCTGAAATCCTACAAGTTCTGGGCTCCGGAGTCCGGAGAGCCCGAGGCTCTGCCTGTTCTTGGTGTGGAAAGCGGCTCGGGGCATACAGTGAGGTGAGGAAGCAGGTAGACGTCAGCGAGAGGGCGGTCCTCAGCCTCTGTGTTCCAGGAACTGATTTCATACTCAAGGGGCTGCAACTCCCAGGGTCAACCAGGATCCACGATCCTGTGATTATAAGGAGCGGGGGATCGCTTCTCAGCCTTTTGGCTAAGATCGAGTGTAGGAGCAGAGGGGTCACTGCTCACTTCCGGACTTTTCACCTCTCCTAGGTTCCAGTGGTGTCAGTGGTGTTCTGCCTTGGCAGAGTTGTGTAGTACCATCGTAGTACATGGGGTCAAATCTGTGGGTGGGGGTTTTGGGGTTTGGTTTGGTTTTTTGAGGAAGGTTGTCTAATCCAGGCTGGCTTCAAACTCACAGTGATTCTCCTGTCTCAGATTCCTCAGTGCTAGGACTACAGTTGTGCACCACCACACCTGCTATCAAATTTGCAAACTGTTTTCTAAACTGAAATCCTCTTGCCTTGCCCTCCCATATGCCGCTCCTCCCAGCTACAGATTCCTCTCTAGATTTCTCACATTTCACTAAAATTGTATTGGAAATGGCTAGTGTAAGGTGAGGTGAGGGTCAAGCTAGGCATGGTGATGCACACACCGTAATCTGAGCACTCTGGGAGGCTGAGGCAGGAGAATTGCAAGTTCAAGGCCAGCCTGGGTACTTTAGTAACTTTGCAAGATCCTATCTCAAAATTTTTTTTTAAAAAAAGGAAGAATGTAGTTCATTAGAATGTAGTTCAGGGCCGGGGATTTAGCTCAGCAGTTCAGTGGCCTGCCTTGCAAGCACAAGGACCCAAGTTCAATCCCCAGTACCAAAAAAAAAAAAAAAAAAAAAAAAAAAAGCAATGTAGTTCAGTGCTAATGTCCTGGTTTTAATCCCCAGTATCCAGAAAAGAAGAGTTTTGTAAGGGTAAATATCTTGGGAATAATAATATGTTTCTTCAGGCATCTGGACAGTAGTCACTTTTTGCCTTGTAGAACCGGAGAGTGCGTAGTGTCAGCAGGAAGGAGTTGCTGTGACTTTGTACTGTTTTATGATTCTCTACAGCGGCCCTGGTGGAAGACATCATTTTCACAGACTGTGAAGATGAAAATGTTTGCCTAGAGCTGTGGCCAGTGATTAGAAAGGTGTTTCTGTCCGCTTCCATAGTGGGTAAGGAAGAAGCAGAGCCGAGACTCACTCATCTTACCTTTCCATGTTCATCTCAACCCCTCCAGAGTACAGTGGGGACATAAACACATCTTCAGAATACAGCAGACTGAACAGGACAGCTTCTTTCTCTGGTGTGTGCTTTGGAACACCTTACGCAGCGGTCTTGGTGCTCAGTGTTACCTTTGGTGCACTGCGGGGTTTCGGCATCGGCCTAGGCGCCTGCCTGTGCCTACATGGACTGAATGAGCCCCACCCCTGGAAGCTCAGCTTCCGCCTCGTGTGTAAAATAGCTGTGTCTTAGTGAGCAGCGACATAGGATTGTGAGGGGTAGGCACCCTGTGGTAGCAGTAACATTGAAAAAGATTGACTCGCTTTTCTGGCAACTAAAAATACGAGCAAGGGCCGGGGATTTAGCTCAGTGGTGCTGCCTGAATTTGATCCCCAGTACCCGCCCCCAGAAAATCCAGATACAAGCAATAAAACAGGGAAATGCTTAAATGACTGTATCAGGATATGATTCACATACATCGAAAGAGTAAAGAGTTTAGAATGTGAAGATCTGCATGGGAGTTTGTATAACGATGCTTCCGGCAGGCCATGGCTGTCATGTTTGTTTATGGGTCTCTTGTTCAGGGGAAGCAGAACCTTTACTGGTACATTTTAGATCTGCATAATGATAGTATTTGTCACAGGGAATTTGTACCTGTGCACCGTATATCTTCCCTCATTTTTTTCCTATTCCCCCCTTCGATCTTAATTCAAAAAAAAGAAGAAAGCAATTAGAGAGAAAGCTAACAGCTGTATTAGCCATTATTAATGGATCTGGGGGGCTGAGAGACCCATGGCAGAGGGAAGGCAGGTGTATTTTTAGTTTGTGGCTTTTCATAGGAACTGCTGCCATGTCCCGCCAAGCTTTTGGCTGCCTGCCTGAAAAGGGGGACAGCCGCCGGGAAACCACAGGGAATGGACCTCCCAGTCTGGCTCACCCCGCCCTGGACACATTCACGCCAGAGGAGCTGCTGCAGCAGATGAAAGAGCTCCTGGCTGAGAACCACCAGCTGAAAGGTGAGCAACTCCCATGCCTGGCCCATCCTGAACAAAGCCTCTTGCTCAAGGATCAAAGGTTAGCTCTTTCCCTGTTAGCTCTTTTCTCTGCTGAAGCAGCAGCCAAGGGTGGCAGCAGCTGAGAGTGGCTCCTGATAGGGCCAAAATGGTTTCTGTGTTTACTGCCAAATGCGGGTAAGAATATAAGGTTTGGGGGGCCAGAGGGGTAGCTCAGTGGTACAGCCAGCATGCTTGAGGCCCTGGATCTGATCCCCAGCTCCAGAGTAGGTAGGTGGATAGGTAGATAGATAGATGGAAAGAAAGTATTCTGTCTCAGGGAAATAGTGTAATGATATTTATGCATTTAAGAGGAAAATAGAGACTGCTACAGCTGCAGTTAGTCCTAAGTATGGCCTATTGAGAGAAAGCGTTCTGATATCTCAAGCCAGGGCTTTTGGTGGGACCTGTGTTCTAAGCAAGGAGTGGTAAGACCTTCCTCAGTCCCCTCATTCACTCACGCATGCTGGGGATTGAATCCTGGGCCTTGAACACGACGTGCAAGTGCTCTGTTACAGCCTCAGCTATCCCTGTTGTTAGTAAGGTTTTCCTGCTGAAGCCACCTAAATCCATTTTATTTTCTGGGGATTTTTTTTTTTTTTTT